CGTCTTGGACGCGGTGAAAGCCCAAGATGCGAACATGCGAAAAATATACGTTTTCCCATAGGAATGGCACGATTTTTGTTTCTTGGACCTCTCTTGGGGTGCCTCTCGGAACGTCTTGGGCTGATTTTGGAAGCCTTTTGGCGCCTCTTGGCTGCATTTTGGCGCCTCCTGGAGCCTCTTGGGCCGGAAGCTCGGAATTCGATGTTGGCTTTCTCCGTCTGGGACCCCTCTCGAACTCGTCTTGGGGCTCTCTTGGGCCCGTCTTGGGGCCCTCTTGGGCCATCTTGGGCGCCTCTTGGGCCGTCTTGGGGCCCTCTTGGGCTGTCCTGGGGCCCTCTTGGAAGCTTCTTGGGCCGTCTTGGGGCGGTCTTGGGCGCCTCTTGGGCCGTCCTGTAACGTCGGAAAGCCCAAAAGACAACTTTGTTGAAAATGTACGTTTTACGAAGGGAATGGGCAAATTTTTGCGTCTAGGGGCCCTCTTGGGACGCATGTTGGAGGCTTCTTGGGGCCTCTTGGGGGCGTCCTTGGACGTCTGGAGGCCATCTTCAGCATCTTGGAGCCCTCTTGGAGGCCTCTTGGAAGTTTCTTGGGCCGTCTTGGGCGCTTCTGGGGCCGTCTTGTCTGACCGGGGAGGCCTCCGGCAAGCCCCGACGAGCCTCCGGGCCCCCCGGAGCCCACATTTGCGGTCGGGGTCCCGGCCCCGGGCCCCTGGACCCGGTGCGCCGTTATATGTATATATATATATATATATGGAGAGAGAGAGAGAGAGAGAGAGAGAGAGAGAGAGAGGGAGAGAGGTAGAGAGAGAAGACTGCAGTGGCGCTTCGCCCCATACCTCCTTGTGGCCTTTTCCGGCATTGTCGCTATAGTAATGTTCTTCGTTATCCTTCCTCCATGCTTCTTTTTCCTCATTGTCGCCATGCCCTGCGCATTCTCCCCATCCTCCTCTGCTCTTTTTTGCGGAGACTCCTCCTTGGAGAGCCTCTGCGGGCCTCACAAAAGTTGTTTCAGGCTTTCTTAAGGCCTTCTGGAAGCCTCCTGGGCGTACTCCTGGGCGTATTCTCGGGGCCTCTGGGGGCTTCCTCGGACCACCCTGCCTCCAACCGCGGCCTCCCTGAACGACCCGGTCACGACTTGGAATGCTTCGGAGGGTGTCTTGGGGCCGTCTTGGGCCGCCATGGGGCTCTCTGAGGGCCATCTTGGACTCGTGTTGTGCCGTTTTGGGGCTCTCTTGGACTGCCTGGAAGCCCTTTCGGATGGTTGTGGGGCGATTTGGGAGCCTCCCAGGCAGCTTCGGACGCCCAGACGACAGCCGTCTTGGAGCGTCGGGAAGCCGAAAAGAGGAGAACCCCACAATTCACAAAAACCAGCATAACATCAATGATTTTTGCCTCTTGGAGCCTTCTTCGGAGTGCTCTTGGAGGCCTCTTTGGGGCCGTCCTGGAGGCCTCTTGGGCCATCTTGAGGTCACGTCGGTCACTCTTGGAGCGCTCTTGTGCTGCCTTGGGGGTCTCTGGGACGTCTCCGATGGCCCCCCTGATCGCCCTATAGGTGTGCTGGGATGGCCTGGCGAAACGCCCTGCGAGGCCCGGGGGGCCGCTTCGAGGCCCGTCCGGAGGGTCCCAAAGCCCAGTTCCCCGGAGTCCGCTTTTTTTTTTTTTTGGGGGGGGGTCCCCCCGCCCGGGCTTATAAAAATATAGGAAGAGGAACATATATATATATATATATATATATATATATATATATATATATACAGATCTATGCATATATATACATATATATATATATATAGATACATAAACATTGACTTTTGGAGGTCTGCGTGGATGTCTCTTGGATCGGCGCTGGAATTCCCCTCTCTGGGGTCCCTCGCCCGGGCTTATAAAAAATATAAGACGAAGAATATGTCATACATACTAATCTCATCCGCGATGGCGCCCGTGACTGGCCCCGCCCCCGAATTGTCAAAGAGGGCCCAACGTCGCCCCAAGATCGCTCCAACATGGCCCCAGGATGACCCAAGAGGCCTCCAAGACGCCACGAGGCCTCCAGAAGGCCTCCCAAGAGGGCACCAATGGGCACACATCTGTGATGTTCACGACAAGTTGGTGTTCTCGCCCGTGCGGCTTTATGACGCTCCAAGACGCCCCAAGAGGCGCCTAGGACAACCCGAGACCGGCCCAAGAGGCCTCCAAGAGGGCCCCAAGAAGGCCTCACATGGCCCCAAGACGGCGCAAGAGGCGCCCAAAACGGGCCAAGAGGGCTCCCAAACAGCCCCAGAATGGAGTCCAAGAGAGGGAACACGAACCGAAAATCCAAGCCTTCCGCCCCAGGAGGCTCCCAGGAGGCCCCAGGAGGCTCCCAGGATGCGCCAAGACGTCCCCAAGGGGCCCCCAAGGGGTCCAAGAGAGGCCCCAAAGCGGCCCGCAAGGGACCTCAAAAATTCTTCCCAGAGCGCCCACGAGGCCCCTCACGAGATCCCGACGAACATCCAATAGGCTTTGTATATCCACAGCCCAGGCACGGTGGCGGGATGGGCCGCAGGCCATTCTATATGTAGGTTGTTATGTATGTATGTATGCATGCATGTATGTATGACTGTTTTTTGATACATACATGTAGGTGTTTGGCCATCTTGTACTACGTCATGTTAAACAACCGTATTTTAATTGGTAATACATTGCGTACGCATGTATCCATGATGGGTGTGCATACGGTACGATACTCTATCACAACGTGATATATCATATTCAATTCTACTCGATTGCATTTCAGGGTATTAGGCCATCGCCCAGCATCCCACTATAATACATTATATTGTATTGCGTTGCGTAATATATGTTGTATAGCCGGTTATGGTCATGGTATATGATCATTCGTTCGTGTATCATGTTCCATGTTCTGCTTCATCGCGAGCTACCACATTGTACTATGTCATAACACAATCGAATACATTAAGCTATTACATATCATATTTTAGTACATGGTAGCATTTTATATTATATTACGATGCATCATGTTCAATGTTTAACCCGATTCGATTATACTGCATTGTAGTGTTCGAGGCTACATCGTAGTTTGTTATAGAAAACGTATATTCTATTTCATCGTACTAGAGTGTACGTTGTGGGGTTGTATTGCCACATCTCTTCACACGATAATCCCACCAGCCCTCTGGGCGTCGGTGGTTTAGAGCGTTTCCTCTTCCACCCCTCCCTCTTCCCCTTCGGGGAGGGGTTTACCCCTCCCCCTACCCCCTCCCCACTGACCTGGACAGGAGGGGCGGGGAGCGGTCAGAGCGTCCAAAACGGCCTCGGCGAGGAAGCCAAAATTATTGATTTTACTATGGTTTGGGCACCATTTTGGCCTTGTGAGGGGGCAACGCTAATTAAGGCTCCCCTCTTCTTCGATCGATTTCCTCCACGATGGCCGCAAGAGGCCCCCAGGATGCCCCAAGAGGCCGCAGGATGGCCCCAAGATGGCCCCAAGAGGCCCCCCAAGAGGCCCCCAGGAGGCCCCCAAGAGACCCCCAAGAGGCCCCAAGAGACCCCCCAGAGGCACCCAAGGTGCTCCCAGAGGCCCCAAGATGGCCCCAAGAGGCCCCAAGAGGCCCCCAGGAGGCCCCAAAGAGGATCCCGAACGGCCCACAGAGGCCCCCCCGAGGCACCCAAGACGCCGAAAAGCCCCTCAGGACGACCCTCTACTCGCCTGGGCGTCGTTTCTGGACGGGCTGGTGGGGATACGCGAAGCGTCTAGAATCAATATTTCATATATTCTTGCAAATTACTTTCTATTCACTTCTATTTGATTCTAGTCGAGTCTATTCTATTGTGGTCTGTTACATTACAAAATATACTAGTATGTTGTATCATATTAATGTATACTAAATCACATGGTGTATGAACGCCCCGTGTAGATACTGCTTATGCTATTCGCGATGACGCCCGTGACCGGCCCCACCACTCTTCTACCCCCCTCACTTCCCAAACGACGCCGGCGCGAATCGTGACGCGACCGGCCCCCTCCCCACCCCCCTCCTCTGGCCACGCCCGTTATCGCCAGGGGGTGCAGGAACGGTCTCTTAGCCGGCGCGCCTCTGGCGCCAAGGGCAGCGCTGGAGGCGGCGCCAGGGGCGGCCCAGCGCCGACGCGAGACATCCGCGCGGACTGATGTCCAATGATCTCCGAAATCCTGGTGGCGTCTCGTTGCGAGCCAGGCGCTTTCGCCGGGTCTCCAGCCCCGGGGGCCCTTGCAGATCGATCCGGCTCGAAACCTGGTGCAGGAAGATGGGTCGGAATATGTTTTGCCTCGCTGGGATCGGCTCGTGGGCTGCTAAGGGGATTGGGGGTTTCTCAAAGGATGCCAGGGTGGGTTATATCTGACCGACCCTAACTTTTAAGTCGGGTACAAATGATCTACGTGGCCACTGGGGCTTGGATGAATTCGCCAAGTGGGCGGAGCCCACTGTGCCCAGATCGTGAACCCCTCTAACCCACTTGGGGCATAGGAGGCGGGGATGGGGAGGAGGAGCTGAGAAGGCAGCGGACGGGATCCACCATAGCTGGGGGGCAGCAGGTTCTCCGAGTTTAGCAATGATGGCATGCAGGGCGGAGGCGTTCGCTGCACGCGGCTGGGCGCCCGCGAGCTGGTCCCCGTGGGTCACCACAGTCTTGAACGCAAATATGGAAACATATGGAGAGCATCTGAGACTAAAGAAACGTATGGAAGACACGGACGCAGAGCCCCATCGCGTCGGAGCGGGAGTGCGGGCAGCAGACGGGGTGGGGAGGAACAGCGAGGAGGGAACGGCGAGGAGCGAGGAGGGAGCGAGGAGCAGCGAGGAGGGAGCGAGGAGCAGCGAGGGAGCAAGGAGGGAGCGAGGAGGGAGCGAGGAGCAGCGCGGAGGGCAGCGAGGAGGGTAGCGAGGAGGGAGCGAGGAGGGCAGCGAGCGTGAGTGTGAGCAGTGAGGGGCAGCGAGGAGGGAGCCGGCAGCGTGGGCGTCAGCGCGCAGGCGCGCAGGCGCCCGCGGCGGCGCACGCGCGCTCCGAGGCGTCCGCGGCCGCCCCCTTCGTCGGCGTCTCCGTCAGGGCCGCCTCTCGGGGGCGTGCCGCTCGGGCAAGGCGGAAAGCCGGGACGAGGATCCGCCAGCCCCCGGCTTGCCGGGGGGTGGAAAGGCGTGTGAGACATTTGGCTGTCCCCCTCCTCCCCCTCCTCCTCCTCCTCCTCCTCCTCCTCCTCCTCCTCCTCCTCCTCCTCCTCCATTCCTTTTCCATAAATCCTCTGCTATCCCTCCGCCCCCCCCCCTCAGGGTCCAACATCTGATTAGAGGGGTGTGTGGGGGTGGGGGGCACGAGCTCGTCAACCATCCCAGGGGCTGCCTGGAGCCGCCCAAAAAGCTCCAAGGCAGCCCAACAGGGCCCAGACAGAGCGCCAAGACAGTGGAAGAGAGCGTCATGACGGCCCAGGGTAGCCCAGCCCCGCGACGATCCAAGATGGCTTCAAGATAGCCCACGAGGCACGAGGCCCCCAATACAGCCCAAAAGCGCCTCCAGAGGATCGCCGAGAGGGCTCCTAGAAGTCAAAGTCGTACCATCCCATTGGAAGAACGTGCGTTTTCAGCATATTCGCATTTTACATTTTGACAGCGAACACGACGGTCCAAGTGGCCCCCAAGATCGTCCCAAGACAGCCTATGATGCCTCCAAGAGCGCCCCAAGACGGCCCAAGAGGGCCCAAAGACAGCCCGGACAGCCCCAGTGCCACCGAAGACGGCCCAAGACAGCCTCTGGAGGGCCCCAAGAGGTCTCCAAGAAAGTCCTAGAGGGGAAATGCGAGCTAACATTTCGAGCCTTCCCCACCGAGATGGCCCCTCGAGCTCCCCAGAGGCCCCCGAGGGCCCTCGAAGAGGTCACAAAAGGCCTCCAAGACACTCCCAAGAAGCCCCCAGAGGCCCCCACGAGGCCACAAAAAGCATCCCACATGCTCCCAAGATATTCCAAGAGGCCCCAGAGATACGTCCCAAGAGACCCTTCGATTCATCCACGAGGCTCCTGACCCAAGACATAACTTCCACTATCGTCTCCAACAATCACTCCTTGTGGGGGTCGGCGGAATGGCGCAAGCTCCTTGAACAGCATCGGGTGAGGATAAATCGAGAATCTCTGAGATCTGACGGCTCTGGAGGATGTCTCGGGCGCCACGGCCTTCTCAGAGCGTTCCGGGACGCTCTGAGACCGTTCCGGAACGCTCTGGAACGGATGTGTCCTCGTCCCAACCCAGTCCGATCTCGGGGATCTTCTTACCCTGGTCGATCCTGACCTGGGTCAGTCAGGCTCTGCAGGATCCTGCAAGATCATGCAGGATCCTGCACCCACGCCTGGGCCAATCCGGCCCCGGCCCTGCAAGATCGTGCAAGATCCGGCGCTCTGGCTGACCCCCGTTGGCTTGTGCTCCCGTCTCGGGCGTTGGCAGAACTAGGCTTAGTGGGACCTGGTCTACTTATATTCAGGAGGGAAAAAGTACACAGGCACAACGAATCGTCGACCCCCAGAAAATATGGGAAAATATGGAAAGTGGTGGGGAAGACAAAATCCGACAAAATATGGGAAAATATAAGGAATTCTTGTATTTGTGTGTATTTATTTGTGTGTGCCAGGGCCCCTTCACATATGTACTGGGGGACGCCCCCCCCCCGCCTCGTTCAACCAACCGGGACTGCCGTCACCCGCACAAGCACCAGCTGTCGTTGAGTGCCTCTGGCCAATTCAAGGGCTCCGGGGCCCCACTACTGACCGGGTCCCCTTACCTTTCAGTCGGGCGTGTCCCCCTGCAGGGGGCTTTTGGGCGAGAAATGAAAATACTAAAAAGATTCCCCCCACATGGGCAACAATGATCAAAATATCGTCCCCAGACTTTTTTTAAATACTATTTTTGAAGATTCCTCCTGTAGAGGGACAGGCCCGACTTAACCTTACCTGGGGCCCTGGCCATTCGGGAGCGGCCAGGAGGGGGGTGTCCAAGAGGGGCGTGTGCAAATCATGACCGGCGGCATGTGCGCGGCCCAGCGGGGGGGCCAGGGACGTCGTGAAAGAAGAAGCGGCGCCACGCAATCTGGGGAAATATCAGGGCCCACGCCATGAGATCCCCCCCCCCCCCTAGTCACCACCCCCCTCTTTGCCGCCCCCGAGGCTACACCCGACCGTCTCTTGAGGCCCCGTCCCAGCGGGGCTCGGAGCGGCGCCGGCCGCCCGCGGTCTGTTTGGGCGTGGCTTAATGGGGGGGTCACAAATGGGGGGGTCAGAAAAGGTCCCCTTTCGTGCCCCTTTCGGGCCCCTCTGGACCCCCAGGGGGCTCGTTTAGGTACCGTTTGGGTACCTTTTCGGACCACCCTCACCAACCCCCCATTTATGACTCCCCCATTACGCAACGCCCAACCAGCGGGGCTCGGAGCGGCGCCGGCCGCCCGCGGTCTGCGCGAGGGGCCGGGGAATCCAGCGCGTGGGCGCCGCCCGGGGGAGGCCCCTCCCCCAAAGGCCTGCGGGGGGGCGGCGGGTGCTCCGGGCGGCTGCGCGAGCGCGGGGGGCGGGGCGGATCGCGCGGGGGTGCGGGATTGCACGTCGTGCCTTCCGAGTCGTGCTCGTTTCTAAACTCGTTCTCGCTTCTGATTGTTCCTGCCCCCCTGGTGGCCAGGAAGAGGCCCCAGGCTGGAGGAATCAGGAACGAGAGGATCTTGGCCCCCCCCAAAAATCAAAGAACTTTCGAAGAGTGAGACATGAACAATGTGTAGGTGCTCCGACTTGCTCCGTGAGCGTGGGGGGGCGGATCGCGTGGGGGTGTACAGTCGGTCGTGATTGGACAGGACGCGCGAGAGGACGCAAGACCCTTCCGAGGGCCACGTCGCCACAGGAATGCAAGAAGCACGGGTCGCGAGACGCAGGACACGAGGAGCCCTTGATTTGGCAGGGTCGACCTACTAATCCGGGCCGACTGTAGGATTAGGTCGGGCATGTCCTCCTGCAGGCGGATCTGGCAAGACAAAGGACAAATAATCAAGCATGTTCGGCAATAGCCAAAGAAGACGGACCATGGTCCCCAGACTATTTTTCTACTACTCTGGAGTTTTCCTCCTGCAGAGGGACACGCCCGACTTACGTGTAGGATTAGGTTGGGCATGTCCTCCTACAGGCTGAGTTTGTAAGGAAATTGAGAACTTGTCAAACCATATTCAAACGTAGTCACAACCAATAAGAACGTCGTCCCCATACTATACTTTATTCACTATTTTTGAGCATTCCTCCTGCACAGGGACAAGCCCGATTGAAGCGTAGGAGCGGGCTGCCCTTCGCGGTGCGTGGGGGGTGGATCTCTTCAGGGGGCGGGTTCGGTGGGCGCAGAGGGGGCCAGAGCGGGCCGTCGGGCGGGGGGGGGGCGCGCGTGCTCACTCAACGATTGGCGGCGCGCAGAGGGGTGTCTGGGGAGCGGGGGAAAACTTCTTGGAAGGAGGCTGCTTCTTAGGAGGCGCCGGCCTTGCATCTACAGAGAAGGCCCGCGCCTTCGAAGAAGCAGGGATGCTTCTACGAAGCCTTCCCCCCTTGCCATGCCCCCCTCTTGCGCGCGGCCGATGTTCACTCAGCAATCTGGGGCATGTAATCATCCCGTCGCCCCCGCACGTGCGAACAAGAATGGGGGGGCGGCGGGGTCGTCGGCGATCTGTGAGGCTTGTCGAAGCCGCGTGTGGAGGCCTCCTAGATGGGGTCCGCGTAGATGGGGTCGGAGGATCGCGCCGCATCGCCGATACATCGGCGATGCATCGGCGACGCTAGCGTGGACAGAATCGGGCTCCACATCGCGCCGCATCGCCGATGCATCGACGATACGGCGAGATCCTCCGACCCCATCTACTCGGACCCCATCCAGGAGACCTAGAATGTGGGTGGCGCGTTCCAAAAAGGGCCTCACCTCCGAGGATCGAAGGAGTTGCCATCTCTTCCTCGGCGGAAGGCGGCGGAAGGTCGGCGGAAATGCAGCGGGGCCGCCTCCGCAGGCGGAAGGCGGCGGAACTAAATGATGTGCCCCCGAGAAGAGATGAACACGTTTTTGGGTGCAAAGTTTCCGAAATCGCGGGCGGTACCCAGTTTCCCCTGGGGCCGTAGGCGACCCGAGGAGGAGGAGGAGGCGGAGGAGGTTGGAGGGGGAGGAGGGGATGGAGGAGGAGGAGGATGAGGAGGAGGAGGAGGAGGAGGAGGAGGAGGAGGAGGACGGGTCGCCAAAGCCCTTCGGGGAAACCCTCCAGGCGGGCCTTCTGGGAAGGCTCGGAAGTCCTCCGGCCTTCTGGGAGGTCGTCTGTGATGGACCATAGATGGACCCCCAGCCCTGTGGGAGGGGACCTGAGTAAGGAGGGCCAGAAACATTAGGGATGGGGGCTCTCTTCTGCAGATGTGCCAGACCAGACCGCCCAGGATTACTGCCCCTAATGCAAGAAAGGGGCCCTCGGTGAGGCCACGCCTTCATCGTGTTAGTAAGGTTAGGGGGTCTTTTACCCTCGACGACTCTAAGCCTTTCCCGGAAGCGTAACAAGAACTGCTCAAAAGGTCGGAGGACTTCTGAGAAGCCCTGCCGCCTTCTGAGAGCGCCTTCTCCTTCTCGTTTCCCCCCCCTCTCGCCGCCAGTGCCTGCTGAGTGTGCAGCTGGCCTCCTGGTTTCTGGTGCCTGCGGTGCGGAACGTTTGCATAGCGAGTCGCAGCGGCGGCCCCAGCGACACGCTGTGCCTTGCAAGCGGATGGCGTGTCGCTCCGCTCCGCGGGGCGCCAGGCTGGGAAAGGCTCGAGACGTTGATGCTCGGGGATGTGGATAGCATGTCGCGCCCGAGCGTGGTGGGCCAGAACTGGCGGCGCGACACGCTAAGCAAAAATTCCCGACCGTGTCCCCCAGGCCCTGGCGTCTCAATCGTTTCGAGCTGGGCGTTTTCGTCCGGTTTCGGGCCCCGGAGTGCTCGCAGATCGGTCCTGCTCGAGAAGTGGCGCAGAAAGGTGGTTGCCAGGGCTCTGGTCGTTAGCGATGTTGCATTTTTTTCGCTACGTCGGGTCTCAGGGCGGTTTGATGCTCTTGGACCTGCCATCTTTGGAGGCACGCCGGCTCCTGACTGCTGCCTCCGCCTCCCAACCTCCCTTCCCGCTAGCTTTAGGTCGGGCATGCCCCCCCATACAGGCGGACTTTGAGCGAAACATGAGAAATCACCCCAACAATTTATCAACAAGTACTAAAACGAATCGTCCCGCGACTATTTTTTGAACATTTTTGAATATTCTTCCCCATATCCTAAGATGGGGTTCTTGTTATTACTTGGACGCCTCCTACTCCCTCTCCTCCTTCCTCCTCCTCTTTCCTCCTCCCCTCCTGTCGGACTTACTCATACTCAGACTTGCTCATACTCAGACTTACTCATACACAGACTTACTCATACTTAGACTTACTCGTACTCAGACCTACTCATACTCAGACTTACTCACACTCAGACATACTCATACACAGACTTACTCATACACAGACTTACTCACACCCAGACGTACTCATACACAGACTCACTCATACCCAGACTTACTCATACACAGTATTAGTCATACTCAGACTTACTCATACCCAGACGTACACATACACAGACTTTCTCATACACAGACCTACTCATACCCAGACTTACTCATACACAGACTTACTCATACACAGACTTACTCATACTCAGCACCCCTAAGGGGAGCCGCCAGGGGTGGTTGCACGGGCTCGTTCGCGGCCATTTTGTGGGGATGTCTCAGGCGGTTTGCTTGTTTCTGGGCCCAACATCCTTCGCTTGGAGAGCAGATTGTGAGGATGTCTCAGGCGGGGCGCTGGTTTCAGCACCCCTAAGGGGAGCCGCCAGGGGTGTTGCACGGGCTCGTTCGCGGCCATTTTGTGGGGATGTCTCAGGCGGTTTGCTTGTTTCTGGGCCCAACATCCTTCGCTTTCGGAGCAGATTTGGAGGATGTCTCGAGCGAGGCGCTCATTTTCACCCCCCAGGTGGGCCAGATTTTGAGGATGTCTCGATCGGTTTGCTTGTTTTGGTGGCCAGGCTCGTGGCCCTAAGGGGAGCCGCCAGGGGTGGTTGCACGGGCTCGTTCGCGGCCATTTTGTGGGGATGTCTCAGGCGGTTTGCTGGTTTCTGGGCTCAACATCCTTCGCTTTCGGAGCAGATTTGGAGGATGTCTCGAGCGAAGCGCTCATTTTCACCCCCCAGGTGGGCCAGATTTTGAGGATGTCTCGATCGGTTTGCTTGTTTTGGTGGCCAGGCTCGTGGGCGCAGATTCTTCTCAGGATGCCACAGGAGGCTCCAACAGGCTCCAGGAGGCCCCAGGAGACCACATGAGGTCCCAGGAGGCATCAGGAGGCCACAGAAAGACTCAAGAGGCCACAGGATGTCCCAAGAGGCTCCAGGAGGCCCCAGGAAGCTCCAGAAGGCCTCAGGAAACCACAGGAGGCCCCAGGAGGCAACAGGAAGCGCCAGGAGGCCTCGGAAGGCAACAGGAGGCCCCGAGAGGCCCCAGGAGCAGGAGGCCTCAGAAGGCAACAGGAGTGGCTCCAATCCCATGTGTTTTACGTATGCTCCTATCGATTGGGCCTCACCTGGAGCACGATTCTTTGATGTTCTACGTATGTTTCTATAGATGGTCCTTCTCCTGTGTACACAATCCTAAATGTTTTACTCATGTTCCTATATATTGGGCCTCTCCTGGGGCACGAGTCCTTGGTGTTTTACGCGTGTTCCTATAGATTGCCCTTCTCCTGTGGCTCTAATCCGCAATGTTTTATGTACGTCTGTTGCTATAGATTGCGCCTCTCCTGGGGCACGAAACCTTCCTAGGAGGTCCCAGGAGGTCCCAAGAGGCTCCTGGAGACCCCAGGAAGCCCCAGTAGGTTTCAGGAGGCCCCAGGAGGCCCCAGGCTCATGCACAGAGACGCGCTCGTACTACTGAGGCTCATTCACACTCCAATTCATTCGCAATTAGATTGATGTCCAGACCGTCACAACTGAAGCCCGTTAATATTCGAAAGCTCTTGCGCCTAGACATTCACGGCGGACAGGTCCATGCGAGTAGATGCACATATGGGGCGCTCCACGCAGTGAATAATTCCTGTAGAGGGGCACGCCCGACTTCACGCTAGCTGCTCCTGCTGCTGATCCCCCCCCTCCTCCTTCAGGGACGCACTGACCCGGGCAAATGCGAACCCAGGTCAGCCAGGCCTTGCAGGATCCTGCAGGCTCATGCGCGCTAGCTCGGGCCAGTGCAGCCCTGGCCCTCCTAGACGAAGAATAGTATAAACTTTGGGCGCTCCGCGCGGATTTTTTTTTGGATCTGGGCTGGGACCCCCTCTTTGGCGCGCGGAGCGCGCCGGGGGCGGCGCCGGAGGCGCCGCCAGGGGGCCCCAGCGCTGATACAAGAAATCCGCGCGCAGCGTCAAATGTTTCTGTTCATGGCGTCGTTTCGTCTTCCATCTCCGGAATCCTGGAAGATCTGGCGCTCTGTCTGACCCCCGTTTGCATCGACCCCCATCGCCAGGGGAGGAGGGGGAGGAGGAGGAGGAGGAGGAGGAGGAGGAGGAGGAGGAGGAGGAGGAGGAGGAGGAGGAGGAGGAGGGAGGAGGAGGAGGAGGAGGAGGATGAGGAGGAGGAGGAGGAGGAGGGGAGGAGGAGGAGGAGGAGGAGGAGGAGGAGGAGGAGGAGGAGGAGGAGGAGGAGGAGGAGGAGGAGGAGGAGGAGCCACTTGAGCCACTGGACTCTTCGCCACTTGAGCCACCGGACTCTTCGCGCGTCGCGCCCCTAGCGCGCTCCGCGAGAGCGGCAGCCTTCGCGCCCCCGCGCCAGCCCGGGCCACGTCGCGCGACGCGCGAGGAGCCTCGCGCCCCCGCGGGTGACCTGCGGCGAGGGCAGTGCTGGCCGCGCGCGCAAGGGGGGCAGGGCTGGACCCAAGCGCTGCTCTTCGTTCCGTGCTCGTGTTGTCCTTCGTTGTGCTCCATCTGTTTGCCGGCGCCCCCCCCGCCAGAACGAAGAACAAGACACGCTGGTGGGATTTATTCAGGAATCGCTCTCCCGGCGCTCTGGAGTCGCGCTCTCGCTGGAGACTTGCTTGCAACTTACTGAAGAATGGCCTTGCGTTGGAATTTCCTGCAATTTGCCCAAGCGCCGCGCTCCCGACACCCAGGGACCCAGGAGTCGCGCCCGTTGCGGCCCCATGTGCATGCCCTTCGTGGCCCCGCTGTCGCAATGTGTGTCCCTCTCAGTGTCCTACGTGGCCCAGTTGCTACCCTCAGTGGCCCCATAGTTGCCTTCTGTGGCCCCGCATTATCTGCACTTCGTGGCCCCCGCTCGTTCGCGCTCTTCGTGGCCCCATACGCGTTCTCTTCGTGTCCCCGCTGTCGCCCTTCGTGGCCTACTTTGTGCCCTTCGTGGCCCTGCTGTCGTTCTCTCTCGCTCTCGCTTTCGCTCGTCGTCGCCGTCGCCGTCGTCGTCGTCGTCGTCGTCGTCGTCGTCGTCGTCGTCGTCGTGGTCGGTCCCCTGTCCGTCCCTCTTAGGGTCGGGTCGACGGTCCGCGGCCGCCCCGCCGCTTGCTGGGGCCCGGCCTGCAGGGAAGAAAGGTATACCCCCCAAAAGGGGTTCGATCGAAGACGAAGAGGGCAGATATCGAGGGTTTGGGAAATACGCGTTATTGGACACTCGAGCATATAAGGGCGATCAGTCTTAAATTTGTTGTTGGTGTTGTTGTTGTTGTTGTTGTTGTTGTTGTTGTTGTTGTTGTTGTTGTTGTTGTTTTGCTTGTTTCAGTCCCGCCCGAGCGTGCTGGCGCCATCGAATGCCTGTCCACCGAAGCCCTGCAATACGACGTGGCCAGTGCCATGAAGGGCCGACGCTGCAGGCTGCGCGGCATGGACGGAGCTGGAGGGGGGGGGAACGAAGTGGCCGGCGGCGCTCCGAGGGGGGAGGCGAGCAGGCCCTCTCAGAAGGCGGCATGGCTTCTCGAGAGGCCTCCGGCCTTCCGGGAAGCCGGCTCTGGCTCCGGAGGAGGCCTGGAGCATTTCTCGGAAGGCCCGAGAAATTTTCCGAGCCGTCTCCAGGAAGGCCCGCCCCCTCTGCATTCCCCCCTGGGCTCGCCGCCGAATTAGGTCTAACACGCGTGCTGAAGACCATCGAACGACGCCGCCGCCGCCCTGGCCGCCGCTGGTCCCTCGTGACTCCCCGGGCCCAGCGCCCATCGCCTGCATGAGGATCGTCTTGGAGTGGTCGTGGCCGGCGGGGTCGAAGGTCGCTTCGGTCAGCGCCTTCCGCCCGCGGGCATGTCCAGGGGGGGAACGCTTGCTCTGCTGCTTGCTGATCATGTCTGCGAACGGTCGTGGACCGGGGGGGGGGGGCGGGGGGTCCGGGCCCCGGGCAGCGGTCATGGACGCTCGGGCGGGGTGGGGCACGTCGGGGCGAGGGTGCGCCGCGAACGCCATAAGGCGCGCGCGAGCAACAGCATGTGGGGGGGCGGGGCCCGGGTCCAGGTCGACCCACCCGGGGGGGGCGGGGGGTTGGCCCAGGCAGCGACCGCCGCGCGCCGGAGGATAGCAAGAAAAAACAGCTCGGGGCGCTTCGAGTCGCGTCAGCGGCGCAGGCAAACCTGGGCCTCTCGCAGGAAGCACGAGGCCAGGAACTCTTGCCGAGAGTGCGTCGCGGCGGCGGCCCCGGCAACCCGCGGTGCACTGCAAGCGGACCGCGTGTCGCTCCGCTTCCGCGGGCCTGGGAGGCTCGGAGAGTCTCCGGACGGTGCCGCTGGGGGACCGGGAAGAGGACAGCGTGTCGTGTCGACGTTTGTGGGCCAGAACCGTCGAAGCGACGCGCTAAGCCGAACATTCTGACCGCAGCGACCTCACGCCGCGGCTTACGCAGGCTGCCGGCGTGGCATGCCGCGCGGAGGAAGAGATGCGCGACCGCACGCGGGAAGCTCAGGCGCGAGTGTCGGCGCACTCGGCCCCCCCATCTTCGTGCGTAGCTCACACGTCGTGGTAGGCTCAGAGGGTGGTGCCGACACCGATGTCGGCGATTGTCTCTACCCGGGGGAAGCTGCACCGAGCTCGGTGATGGTGGCCACCATTGGGCTCTCGGTGGCCGAGAGATTACCACCAGCGCTACGGTCTGAGATCGCTTCCCCCGGGTGGAGACACCCGCTTGTCTTGGTGTCACGCTCCAGGCCTCCAGCATCGATCGATCAGGATCGCCTGCATCATCGATCGGACCGCCCGTAACTCGGTGGGAGTGGGAGCCCCTCGACACCACAGACCGACTGGATCGGGGAGCAGAATCCGTCTTTGCTTCGAGCGATCCCCGCCCGAGAACGTGAGGCGGGATATGTACCCATCGGGCCGGGCGAAAGGGGGGGTTTGAGAATCAGCTCGCGTAGCTAATTTTCCCGGCGCCTCCGGGCGCCGGGAGGCGGCCATGTATCGATGACTGGGCCCCTCGGTGGGGCTGAAACCAGCTGCATGCAGCAGATTTTGTACCCCCCCCTTTCCCTATCCCCCCCTTTCGTTCGGCTCGAACCCAGGGCGGCCGCGGTACGCAGCCGTCATGCGCCGAAGGCACGAGGCGGGACAACCGGGGAGCTCTGGCACTGTTTGGGCCTGGTGGCCGCGGCATGCAAGGCGTGTGAGGCGGGCCAGGAGCGCCTTCTTTCAATCGAACAATCCCAACCTGTCGGGTGGGGAATGATGACGAGCCAATCCCCCAGGAAGGTGTCGATGGGTTTAGGGACACCCGCAAGTGCAAACACACACCACGATGCCGGAGGCCTGGGCCCCGTTCGCGGAGGAGGGAGGTGGGCCAATCTGGGGGGACGGGTGCGTGATCGATCCGACCCTGAGGCCCTCCTCCTTCTCCTCCTCCCTCACTTCTCCTGCCGTCCCTTCCTCGTCCTCCTCAGTCCTCCTCGCTTCCCCTCCTCGTCCTCCGCCCTCCTCACCGCAACTGCCCCATCCCCTTGCTTTATACATAACGCCTCCCTGTCGCACTCCCAGACGTGTTGGTAGGGCGGGCTGGGCGTTTCGCTTGAGGCTTTCTCCCCACTTGCGATCCTGAAGGGTACATTTTAAACATCTTCACGATGGAGGGCGGGTCGTTTTCAAAATGTGGCTCGCGCCTGAGCTCCGCGTACATTCGTCTTAAACATGTTGCAGCACTTTCATGAGTGGAGAACGGGCGTTGTTCAAAATGTAGTTCTCGCCGTAGTGCCGTCTGAAAAAGATGGAGCAATTTCAATGATGGAGGGCGGGAATTTTTTTCGAATGTGACTCTCGCCTTAGCGCCGGTGTTCAAACTTCGCTGAAGGATGAAGGGCGGCGCATCAGCGGCGCGCAAATTCACCCGAAAATGTTGCAGCACTTTCACGGGTGGAATGCCAACGGTGTTCAACATGTAGCTCCCGCCTTTTGCGCCACGCGCATTCGCCTGAACAGTGTGCAGCAGTTTCAAGGAAGGGGGGGAGGGGGGGGGGCGGGCGGTGTTCAAAGTATGGCTCTCGCTCTACCGCCGCACGCATATGTCATACAAATTTGCTCAAGGATGAAGGTTTTGAAACGTTTCCGGAAGTTTCGAGGACTCGCATGTTCGCAGTCCTGGGGACGGCGTTCTGGCAAGACTTAGGATAGCTCAGACGCACGAATCCTGTCGATTGGCGGCGTAAAATCCCAGGCATGATGTTCCGGCACGATTTTGGATTGTCAAGGCGCAACAATCACGTTGGTTTGGAACGTTGAAACAACTAGGAATGTTGTTTCGGTGCGATTGAGGATTCTCAGGCAATTGTCTTCCGATGGGGCACCTCCCGCAATGAACGCAAATCCTTGCAGGGGCCTGTGAAGAGGGAGCTTGGAGGAGGGAAAGTTCATTGCAACATCGTTGATGCGTCCTGGGTTTACACTGGTCCTCCTCCTCCTCCCTTCTCCTCCTCCTCCTCCTCCTCCTTCTGGAACGGGGTCGAGAGGTCTAGGGACATCCGTAAGTGCTTACACAGATCATGACATCAGAAGCCTTGGACCCCGTCCGTAGAGGAGGGAGGTTGTCCATTCTGGGGGGACGGGCGCGTGATTGATCCGACCCTGAAACGCTCTTCCTTCCCCTCCTCCTCCTAACTTCTCCTACTTACCGTCCCGTCTCGTCGTCCTGCTCAATCCTCCTCACCACCTCCTCCTCCGTCCTCCTCACTGCCCCTCCTCCATCACTCTTCCTTCTAAACAACTCCTCTCTCAATCGCACCCCTGTAGGGTGGGTCGGGCGTTTCGCTTGAGACTTTCTGTTCTCCCGTCTCCTCCTTGCCGTGCTCTTTAAACATCCTCCTCCTCCTCCACCCCCTCCCCCCTCCTTTTCCTCCTCCTCCTCCTCATCCCCCTCCCTCCTCCTCCCCCCTCCCTCCTCCTCCTCCTCCTCCTCCTCTTCCTCCTCCTCCTCCTCCCTCCTCCTCCTCCTCCTCCCCTCGTCCTCCTCCTCCTCCCCCTCCTTCTCCCCCTCTCCCTCCTCCCCCTCCTCCTCCTCTTTCTCCTCCTCCTCCTCCTCCTCCTCCTCCTCCTCCTCCTCCTCCTCCTTCTCCTCCTCCCTCCCTTCCCCCTCCTCCTCCTCCCTCCTCCTCCCTCGTCCTCCTCCCTCCTCCTCCTTCTCCCCCCCCTCTTCCTCCTCCTCCTCTTCCTCCTCCTCCTGCTCCTGCTCATCCTCCTCTTCCCTGCTCCTCCTCTTCATCCTTCTCCTCCTCCTCCTCCTCCTCCTCCACCCTCCTCCTCCCCTCCTCCTCCTCCTCCTCCTCCCCCTCCGCCCCCTCCTCCCCTCCCTCCTCCCCCCTCCTTCTCTCCCTCGTCCTCCTCCTTCCCCCTCCTTCCTCCACCCTTCTCCTCCCTCCCTCCTCCTCCTTCCTTCCTCCTCCTTCCTCCTTCTTCTCCCCCCTCCTCCTCCGTCCTCCTCCTCCTCCTCCTCCTTCTCCTCTTCCCCCTGTTCCTCCTCCTCCTCCTCCTCCTCCTCCTCCTCCTGCTCCTCATCCTCCTGTTTCCTGCTCCGCCTCTTCCTCCTTCTCCCTCCCTCCTTCTCTTTTCTTTTCTTTCACCGGAGCTCAGGTCAGCACGCTGGCAGCCGAATGCCATCTGACACAACATGCGCCAACGCCTCAACAGCCTCGTCGAGAGCGATGGCTTCAACTTTGGATACCAAGCAGCCGCCGAGCAAGAGTAAGCCCGGGCGCCGCCGTCGAAATGCAACATCAAATTCGTAGTATTGGTGCGGAGAAGACCGTCTGGCCACGGAAAGGCATGTGACCATGAACTCTTTGAACCTATGGTGTGGTTAACTAAGTGGTCAGCAATCCTAGTAAACTCTCGCGGTCGCCAATGCACTGCGTGATCGATGTCACGGGATGGCTTCCACCCTCGAGCCAGCATGCCAAATATCCTGCGAGACGTGCGGTTGAACATCGGCTCCAAGTCAAGGCTTGTCAGAGCGCTCTCACCGTTGACAACCCTAGCCAAAGGCTTGCAATCTGTAGCGATGGCGAATCGCAAAGACGTGCTTGGGGAAATCACCGCTGGAGCGCCAGCTCCGTGGCTGGATGGAACGTTCTCCAACGATTGCTCATATAGTCTTCGGCGTTTCGGCTCTTTGTGCGCAGGGCCAAGGCTATGGTCCGAGGCGTCTTGGAACGTGAAGAGGCCCCATCCACTGGTTCCTCGAAGTACATTTGCCCCGCACTTCACGCCAGCCAGTACCAACATACAAAACAAAAGCGTCTTCCCATTCCACCCGGTGACCGACACCTGCATAAACGATATGTTCCTGATGACGGCGTCTCTTCGACAGGAAACTCTTTGCTAGCTCCCGCAGTTCACGAGTGCGCTCCTCCCGCACGAGTCGTAAATAATTTGTCCCGCCGGGCCCTTGCAGTGTCTTCTCCTTCCAAACACCTTTGAACACCTCCCGGAGAACGCGAAGATGCAGAGGTCGCACACGAATTTTCCGAAACCAATGTTACATGCGTCGGGAGGTACGCTCCATGAACAGCGCCAGCCCCTCAGCAGCGCGCCTCTTTAAAACGAGCATCCTGCGAAGGAAAGAGAACTCCCGGCGTTTCAGACGTGCCGAAACGTGTTGGACCAGGTGCCACGTGCCAGATCCATGCGCGGCGCTCGCTGCAGGCCCACTCGCCCGCGCTCGCAGCTTCTCGACAATGGAACCTGGGCCGCGGAGAGTGCGGGCGTTGCTCCAGTAGGTGCCCTCGGCCTTAGCTAAGCGGTGTTCCATGCTCGTGTGCGCGTCCGCCTCCCTGCTCACCAGGGCTCCTAAAACTTCCAACTCTTCGACCGCGTCGATCGACAATCCGGCGGCGTCCTGCTGAACCTTCGCGGCGATCGCCCAAATACTTATAACGCATACATTCCAACGACGATGGCATCCAGCGAAAGCCGAGAAGCAGCATCACCTCCGTGAGCTCCTGCGTTATGGTCTTGAAGTCGCTCGCTGTTGCGGCAAAAAGGTAGATGTTATCGGCCCAGATGATGTGCGATATCGGAGGGACGCCCTCCCGATCCAACTGGAATCCAAAGTTCCCCCGCGCCCAGCTCGCCTGCAAGTCGGACGCCGACCACTCCAACACAATATTGAAAATCGCCAGACTTTCAACGCCGCCTTGCTTACCTCCACGCCCCTGAAGGAAGCGGTCGCGCGGCAACGACCCCTGGACTTCCATGCTGCGCTGCGTGCCGGTGACTTCCCTGAGAAACGCTGCAGCTAGGGATTAGGGAACGCCTCTGGCCACCATCGCGGCAAACATCTTGTCGTGGCGCATCGCGTCAAAGGCGGTTCTGATATCCAGCGAACCGGTAACCAAGCCTTTGCCTCAGCGCGAAAATAATACGCATTGGCGAACTATAGATACGACATCGTTGCACTCGCATCCCGCTCGGAAGCCAAATGTGGCTACTGGGCAAGGCGGTAATGATCTCTGCAAAGAAGGCAGCAAACACAACGCAGACCATTTACGACACACGTCGAGCTTTCCCATCCAACGAAAATCCCCAAACTCATCCAACTCGGACGTCGTCGGGGGCCCATAGAAGTCGATGGGTTTCCACGACGGCGGATCTGGAGAACGGAGGTCACTAAGCCTGTGACCGAACAGCTCCCAAAGACGGTACACGCTGAGGAGGGGCAGTGTCTTGTAACCCTCGGCCAGGGCGCCGCCGGTGCCAGGGGCCGATCCGGATGTCAGTTTGGCCCTACCCGTGAGGACGTCGAAGGGTCGCAACTCAATGCGTCGATGTCCGTCCAATCGAGTGTATCGCTGCACTTGCGCCAGCGTATCCATGCGGCCCTCTTGCGCATTAGAGTGGTTGGAAGGGTCCCCAAAACGACTCTGGCCGAACTCGAACAGGGCCGCTGTCCAAGCCTCGCGGTCGGCAGTTCGGACGCCACCGATCTTTGAACTTACTTGTGCTCGTTGATGTGCTCGCCCAGCGCAAACGCTCTGAAGATGCCCGCTATTCTTGGACTTCTTAGCTGCCCGCGCCGCGCGCCGTAGTTGGCGGATGCATTCACAGCGACGGTCATCAGAGGCGAGGGTAACTGCCCTTCTCGCTGGCTTGACTGGGATGTTCGCGCCCCGCGCCGTCCGCCGGCGTCTTGTATGATCGGTGTCATGCTGAATCGAGCGGGCGGCCTCCACGACAATGCAATGAAGTTCTGGTGGATCCCCAGCTCCTCCGTCCACTGCGAGCTGCTTGAACTGGTCCACATCGGCGGCCGTCGTAGGGGCCCATCCCTTCAGCGAAGGCTGGAAATGACCACCAGTATTCCCAAAGGAAACGTTATCGATAGAGGCCAAGACTGGACGATGATCGGAGCGCTTGAAGATTTTGTGGTTCTGCCTCTGAGCCCAAGCAATCCTGTCGATCCCCGAAGACGCTCCTATGTAGTCCAGCTGGCACTTGCGAGTACGATTGCTGCTATCAGTATGGGTCCACGTGCGGCTCGAATTTTAAACCCCCGCCTCTTCCACGAGAGACAGCGGAACGTATTCAACAAACGAACCCCGAGATTGTCTAACAAAGCACCCACTGCAAAGACTTTGGCTGGAGAATGGCTCACCCTAGGTACCATCACCGCGTCCCCTGTGAGTGGCCCCCAATGGGCAGGAAATTGAACGTTTGCATCCAAGTCCACAGCCACTCCGAAAACTGCGGAACTATAAGACGCACGAGCGCGTTGCACAAATAAGGTAGTTTCCTCAAACACCTGATTCGCCCACCCATCCTCTACAAGATGGTCTAAAACATGTGCTGAGATGTAAATCGAATTCCCAATGACAGCACCATACCAATAAGCACCGACATGTACATCCCTGAGCGCCCGCATCCCGAGTCTAGGAATAACAAGGGCACAGTCACAATTTTCAGCAGTTAAGACGGTCTGTGCAGAATAAAACTTACCATGCAATTTTAACCATGCCAGAACTTATTGCAAAGGCCAGAATCCTCACCTGTAGAATTCCGGAATTCATTACATTACTTCTTTGCGGCCGACACCCCTTTCCTGCAAATGTTCCACGACACAGCGGTGAAACTTCCTGTAGGGAGCGCCAGGGGCGATCAGGCGGACCAGAAAGCGCGCAACTCCGCGTCGAAAATGTCCGGCGTGGTCGCGAAGTTCCGGTGGAGGGCAGCCGGATCCCACTTGACCTTGCCCTTCTCGTCAACCTCACCCATGAGCTGCTCACCGGTGGCCGTCTTCACCGAGAGATGGAAGTCTGGTGGGCCAGAGTGGCGGGCCGTGCTGCCTGCATCCTTTGCTTTCGCCTTGGACTCCAAGAACGCACTCGCCTTGCCGCCCGCCTCGAAACGCTTCTGGTCCTCCGGCGATTTCTCGACCGTGGTGTACAGGTCGTTGCCGATGAACTGGTATCCCCCACCTTTTAAAGTGTCCTGGAAGAGAATCTCGATCTCCGTGGCGTAGGGTGGGATCACGTGGATCATGAATTTGTGAACCCTGGGGCCCGTGACCTCGATATCCCCCACTTTCCTCCTCCTCCTCCTCCTCCTCCTCCTCTGTTTTTCTCCGTATAGATTCTAAAACAGTTGTCTTTATGGGGCATCTCCCGCAATGAAAACAAATCCTTGCAGGGGCCTATGAAGAGGGAGCTTGGAGGAGGAAAAGTACATTGCAACATCGTTGATGCGTCCTGGGTTTACGCTGGTTCTCCTCCTCCTCCTCCTCCCTCCTTCACCTGCTCCTCCTCCTCCTCCTACTCCTCCTCCTCCTCCAGCTCCTCCTCCTCCTCCTCCACATCCGTAAGTGCTAACACACATCATGGCATCAAAAGCCTTGGACCCCGTCCGTGGAGGAGGGAGGTTGGCCATTCTGGGGGGGACGGGTGCGTGATGGATCCGACCGTGAGGCCCTCCTCCTTCCCCCCCTCCTCCTCCTCCTCCTCCCCTCCTCCTCCTCCTCCTCCTCCTCCTCCTCCTCCTCCTCCTCCTCCTCCTCCTCCTCCTCCTCCTCCTCCTCCTCCTCCTCTCCTCCCCCCTCCTCCCTCCTCCTCCGCCCTCCTCCTCCTCCTCCTCCTCCTCCTCCTCCCCCTCCCTCTCCTCCCACTCCTCCTCCTCCTCCTCCGCCCTCCTCCTCCCTCCCTCCTCCTCCCTCCTCCCTCCTCCTCCCTCCTCCTCCTCCTCCTCCCCTCCTCTCCTCCTCCTCTCTTTCTGCTCCTCCTCCCCCTCCTCCTCCTCCTCCTCCTCCTCCTGCTCCTTCTGCTCCTCCTCATCCTCCTCTTACCTGCTCCTCCTCTTCCTCCTTCTCCCTTTTCCTCCTCCTCCTCTTCCTCCTCTCCTCCTCCTCCTCCTCCTTTTTCCTTCTCCCCCACCTCCTCCTCCTCCTCCTGCTCCTCCTCATCCTCCTCTTACTTGCTCCTCCTCTTCCTCCTCTCCTCCCTCCTCCTCCCCTCCTCCTCCTCCTCCTCCTCCTCCATCCTCTTCACCCATCGCCTGCGCAATCGGACCAGGCGATCAGGACCCCTCCGTGGAGAGTGGGTTCGCCCCCCCCCGGAGGGAGCGGGGGAGAGAAAACGCACGGCCCGTCCCTGCCGTGGCGACGCGGGCCCGGACTTCTACCACCGCGCGACTTGATCAATCCTGAACTGAAGGGCCTCGGGCTCGGCCTGTCGGGGGGAACGAAAGGGGGGGACGCAGCGCGAGGGGGGCGGTGAAACACGTGTACTATTCGGAAGGGAACGAAGCCTGCACAATCGGGCCAGGCGATCAGGACCCTCTTTTGAGAATGGGTTGGGCCCGCCCCGGAGGGAGCGGGGGAGAGAAAACGCGCGGGCGCGGACTTCTACCACCGCGCGCTCTGATCAATCCTGAGCTGAAGGGCCTCGGGCTCAGCCTGTCGGGGGGAACGAAAGGGGGGCGATGCCAAAGGGCAGGGTCAAGAATCAGCTCACGTATAGCGGATTTTCCCAGCGCCTCCCGGCGCTGGGAGGCGCCCATGTATGGAGGAATGGGCCCGGCGGCGGGGCCGAAACCAGCTGCATGCAGCCGATTTCGTACCCCCCCCCCCTTCCCTATCCCCCCCCCTTTCGTTCGGCCCGAGCCTACGGTCGGGCACGCTTGCTCCGCGCGTCGCCCGGGCGGCCCCGGCGACGAGCGGGCTCGGCCTGTTCGGGGGGGAGCGAAAGGGGGGCGATAGCCAAAGGCTGGGCAGAGAATCGGGGCCTCCGGGCGTGGGGCCTCCCAGCGTGGGGCTGGTGGCTGCTCCGGAGGGTGTCCACGGGGCCGTGCGGGAGGTTTGGGGCTTCCTGGCGGTGGCCTCGCAGACGTCGTCCCCCTATCGTTTCCCTATACGGCCAACTCTCGGGTGATGAAGAGGTTCTGGGGGGGGAGGAGCCAACTCCTCACTCGAACGGCATCACTACCGATCTCACTATCGGTCGCATCACTATCGGTCTCACGCTTGCTCCGCGCGTCGCCCGGGCGGCCCCGGCGACACACTATATGCTCTGCGAGCAGGCAGCGCGCCGCTCCGCCCTGCGGGGCGGGAGGTTCGGGGCTGCTCTGGACGTAGACGCCTGGGGGGCCAGCGAGCGGATAATGTAGGGGGCAAACAAACCCACCTCGCTTTTGACCACCCTCGCTTCCAAGAGATACCAAGCGATGCCAAACTACGGCCTGTACTGGTCAGGCCGCTTGACGAGGAGGCGCGTGGTATGACTTGGTTTTGCCTGGAAGCGAAAGCGGGGCAGGTAATTCACGCTGTGATAATTAGCGTGTGACACCGACGCGCAAAGGGGCCAGAACCGGCGGAACGACGCGCGACACAGACCTTCCTGGCCAGAAGCCCCGAACTCGACGCTTCGCCCCATCCCTCCCTTGGCGGCGCGCACAAGGGGGTGGAGGGAGGGGGGAGGGCTTCTTAGAAGGAGGCTGCTTCTTGGAAGGCGCCGGCCTTACATCTATACATAAGGCCTGTGCCTTCTAAGAAGCAGGGGTGCTTCTAAGAAGCCCTCCCCCCTCCCCCCACCCCCCTTTTCGCGTGGCTGACTCCTGCTCCTCCCCCATCCGGGAGGGCGGGCTTCCCCCGCCGCCCAAAGCCCGCCTGCACCATCACGGGGCCCGTCTTCGACGTGCCGTCGCCCATTGGAGCGTCGCCTCGGGGGGGCCTCGTCTCTTGTACCTGCCTGCTCCTCGTTGCATAGTTCCTTCCTTCGTCTCCATCCTGCTGGTCGTCCTGCCCATCGCTCTCTCGTCCCTCGTCCCCGATTTCTCCTCATCCTCGTTTCTCCTACTCCCTCCTCACCCTCCTCCTTTTCCTCCTTCTCCTCCTCCTCCTCCTCCTCCTCCTCTCCCTTTCTCCTCCCCCCTTCTCCTCCCCCTTTCTCCTCCCCCTTTCTCCTCCTCCTCCTCCTCCTCCTCCTCCTCCATCTTTCCATCCCCTCCATCGCTTGCACCGCTTCCGTGCCCTCCCTTTCTTCCTCGTCCTTCTCCTCCTCCTCGCTCGCTCCTCGCTCCTCCTCCTCCTCCTCCTCCTCCTCCTCCTTTTCCTTGCTCCTCCCCCCTCCCCTTTCGAGCTTCGCACTGTCAGCACGGATCCGTCCTGGCATTGCCATCCCCCCCCCCCCCGGGGGCCTGTGCCCGTGCGCGGCATGGTCAAATCTGGAGTGCGTGCGGCGGCCGCTGCGGCACGGCGACGCAGCGCGAGAGGGGGGCGGTGAAACGCGCGTACTGTTCGGGGGGGGGAACGAAGCCTCTTCCTCCTCCTCCTCCTCTTCCTCCTCCTCCCCCTCCTCCATCCTCTTCACCCATCGCCTGCACAGCACAATCGGGCCAAGGGATCAGGACCCCTCCTTTGAGAACGGATAAGGCCCGCCCCCGGAGGGAGCGGGGGAGAGAAAACGCGCGGGCGCGGACTTCTACCACCGCGCGCTCTGACCAATCCTGAGCGGAAGGGCCTCGGGCTCGGCCTGTCGGGGGGCACGTAAAGGGGGCGATGGCAAAGGGCAGGGCGGAGAGTGGGCTCACGTATAGCTGATTTTCCCAGCGCCTCCCGGCGCTGGGAGGCGCCCATGTATGGAGGAATGGGCCCGGCGGCGGGGCCGAAACCAGCTGCATGCAGCCGATTTCGTACCCCCCCCCCCTTCCCTATCCCCCCCCCTTTCGTTCGGCCCGAGCCTACGGTCGGGCACGCTTGCTCCGCGCGTCGCCCGGGCGGCCCCGGCGACGAGCGGGCTCGGCCTGTTCGGGGGGGAGCGAAAGGGGGGCGATAGCCAAAGGCTGGGCAGAGAATCGGGGCCTCCGGGCGTGGGGCCTCCCAGCGTGGGGCTGGTGGCTGCTCCGGAGGGTGTCCACGGGGCCGTGCGGGAGGTTTGGGGCTTCCTGGCGGTGGCCTCGCAGACGTCGTCCCCCTATCGTTTCCCTATACGGCCAACTCTCGGGTGATGAAGAGGTTCTGGGGGGGGAGGAGCCAACTCCTCACTCGAACGGCATCACTACCGATCTCACTATCGGTCGCACAACCGAGTTCACTCGATCGATCGCACGATCGGTTTTAGAATCGTTCCCACAATCGGTCTCACTATCCCCCTCATCATCGATCTCACCGTCCATATCACTATCGATCCCGCAATCGATTTCATTACCGACCTCGCGACCGACCTCACATCAACCTCACTTTCGATCTCGCTCTCGGTCTCATCATCTTTCTCACCATCGATCTCAACATCCATCTCACTAGCGACCTCATGGGGCACCACGGGACACCACAGGACACCGCGCCGCGGGACGCATCGGACCACCGCGGAAAACCAAGGGACACAACGGCGGGACACCCCTGGCGCCCGCCCGTCAAAGGGTGGCGGACTCCTGCCTTCGCGGCGTGAGGCGTGAAACGTGATGACCCAGTTCGCAGGCCCACGGGGGGCAGAACGGCGCACAGTACAACGGCAAGGAGTAGCAATCTTCAGCACGAGGATTCCGCCGTGGTCGCCCACGCAGCGAACTCAGCAGGCAATTCTCTCTGGGCCTCACGACATTGTGCACTCCGCCAGCGCTACCCGTGCCCCTGCCGCCCGCCTGTGGCGCGCGTCCTCCAGTCAGGCGAACCTGCGCGGCCTCGGCCGCCGAGAGGGCTCGTCCCAAGCCTGGCCGGCGGCGCCAGAGGCCCACCGCCGTCGTTTCCTGCAGCTCTGCCACGGCTGCGCGGATGCCTGACTCCCGGGAGGCGAGGACACGCCCCTAACGCGTGCTCGAACTTCATCCGCCTGTCGCCGCGAGGGCCCTGCTTTGAGCAGGGACCGACCGTCCCGGCATTCCTATAGTCCTACCACGAAATGTTCTTAGAACCCCAAAATGCTCTAAAAACACAAAAAAATCTTAGAACGCAAGCCCGATGTTTCAAACCAAGACAGACTCCGCCAGACATGTTCTAAGAACATTTCGCGGAAACCACAGAAGGTTCTTAGAACATTGTTTGATAGGGCTATAGGCGAGCCAAGACGCTTCGCCACTGCTTGACTGCCGGCCCCGACCATCCGTCCCGTGCGCCGGCCCGCCCAGCCGAGTCCCCCCCACCGGTCTCCCTCGCCGAGCCGACTCGTGCTCGGGCAACCACGGCCACGTGTCCCGCCCATCTCCACTCCTTCGGGACATGCTCGCGTCTCCAACATTCGGTCGGGCGTGCCCCCCTCCCTACAGGCGGACTTTGGACACAAAAAAGAACCAACAAATGCATTCAAAACTGGCCAAAGAATGGTGCACCAATCGTCCCCATGCGATGTTTTGACTATTTTTGAATTTTCCTCCTGTAGAGGGACAGGCCTGACTGACCTCCAATCCCGCGCGCCCGCTTCCTGCGCCTGCCTCCCAGGCAGCCTCGTCGCGCTCTGCGCCCGGCTCTCGCCCCGTCTCCTCCTCCTCGGCGCGCCCGACGCGCACTTCTTCTCCCTGAGCGTGGCGCGTTTTGCGCTGCGTAGCGCCTGCGCGACCCTTCAGCTCTCGGCGCCCGTGGTTCAGCCCCCCCAAAATACTGTGCCAGCCTTCCCCTCCTCCTCCTCCTGCTGCTCCTCCTCCTCCTCCTCCTCGTCCTAGCGAACAGGGTCGGCGGCGCCGGCCGTAAGGCCTTCGCAATACTGTGCCAGCTACTGCGCTGCATAAAAGATAGCAAACGCATGTTCAGCGAGGACCTCTTCCTGGTCAGCACTGTCGCCAGAGCCCTGAATTTGCCCCATCCTTTCGCGACGGGGCGTGCGATCTCCCTGTATAATCCTCCAAACACAACTTCGTTCCCAACAAGTCTAAGCGATCGCCGAGCGGCACCACCTCGATGGAAGACCCCCCTCAATAAGAACCTGCTCCCGCTTGACGTCTTCCCCGCTTGTCTACGCTTGGCGCTTGGTTGAGAGCGGCGAAAGCCCCCGGCTGTTTAGCGTCTTCCAGAGCATGGGCAGAATGTGCCTCATAGGCACCCGCGATCTAGCACCGAGGTCACCCGAGGTCTGGTCGTCAGCGGCTGCAACATGCGTCGGCCTCTCTCCTCGCTTCCCAGCCAACATTCGTCCCCCACCTCCCGCCTCTCTGGCCTCGCGGCTCCCTGGCCAGTGGGGGTTCTTTCCTCTCACCAGCCCGCGCAGCTTCGCCTCGCCCGAGCGCGCGACTCGAACGCGAAACCGATCCTGGCGGCGGGCTCTCCGCTTAACTGCGATCTCACCCCCTCGCCTCCGACCGCGCCCATGACCATGTCGACCCAGCCCTCCGCAATTGCGGCTGGCTGTGCAGAGGGTGGCTCGATGAGTGGATGACGCTGGCACTGTGCGGCCGCGCGGTTGCCGCGGCCGCTATGGCCAAAGCCAGAGCAGCCCAAAAAGGTCTCTTGTACCGCCCCCGCAAAACCTGACCAAAACTCCGAGGCGAATCGCGACGAGGGCCTCCCGGGTTGCCCAACAAGGCGAAGACGGGGGAAGGGTCGCGGAATGGGTACCTTTTCCTCCTCCTCCTCCTCGGAGAGAAAGAGAGAGAGAGAGAGAGAGAGAGAGAGAAAAAAACAAAGAGCGAGAGAGAGAGAGAGAGAGAGAGAGAGCGAGAGAGAGAGAAAGAAAGACAGAGAGAAGAAGGAGAGAGCAAGAGAAAGAGAGAGACACACACATATCTATATATATGTATATATATATATAGAGAGAGAGAGAGAGAGAGAGAGAGAGAGAGAGAGAGAGAAAAAAGAGAGAGAGAGAGAGAGAGAAAGAGAGCGAGAGAGAGAGAGCGAGAGCGCGAGAGAGCGAGACAGCGCGAGAAAGCAGCAAGACAACACCGCAGGAGGGGGCGGGCGCGCCTGTGCCGCAAGCCGACACGCTGGAGGCAGCGCCGGCCCGCCGCCCGCGAGCGCAAAAAAACACGGCTGCGCCGCGGCGAAGGCGCCGTCGGCGTCGCCGCCCGTTGCCGCCACGGCGGCCGTAGTCGTCCTCGTCGTCGGAAGTATCGTTACAGTCGGACTTGATTGGACAGGACACGCGAGAGGACACAAGACCCTTCCGAAGGCCACATCGCCTTAGAAGAGTAAGAGGGCACGTGTCGCGAGGCACAGGACACAAGGGTACCCTTGAGCTGGCAGGGTCGACCTACTAATCAGGGCCGACTCTAGGTCGGGCATGTCCCCCTGCAGGCGGATTTTGGACAAAAAATTAAACATACACAAAAAAAAACAAAACGACCAACGATACTCAGAGAATCGTCCCCATACTATTTGTTGACTATTTTTGAATATTCCTCCTGTAGAGGGACAGGCCCGACTTACAAGTATCAGACAAAAACAATGGCATCCATATAAACTTGCAGGGGCCTGCGCGGATTTCTGGGATCGGCGCGAGGTGCGGCGCTGGGGGCGCCTCCAGGGGGGCCCAACGCCGATCCAAGAAATCTGTGCGGAGCGCCGGAAGTTCATGTCAATGCAATTTTTTTCATCCTTCGAAGAAGGGCAAGGTCGGTCAGCATCGAACATCGGTAAATCGGATCGACTCGACATGTGCAACGGATCGAGCTGCCTCGGCACGGGATCGGCATCGAAGCGGATCGGCTGCGCCAGGCTGCGCACCGGCGTCGCGCCAGCACCGGGCCGCATCGGACCGCCGGAGCCTCGGACTCGAGCCAGATCGGGCCGGCCAGAATCGGTACCGAATCGGAGCGATCTCCTCCTTCTCCTCCTCCTCCTCCTGCTCCTCCTCCTCCTACTCTTGCTCCTCCTCTTCCTCCTCCTCTTCTTCCTCCTCCGCCTCCTCTTCTTCTTCCTCCTCCTCCTCCTCCTCCTCGGAATCGAACCAGATCGGCCGAAGTTAGGGGACGAAGGGCGGTATCACAGTAACTTTTCCGCCGTCGGGGGCGCCTGCCCCCCGGGCGGCTGGAACGCTTATACCCCTGCGTGGCACCGCAGAGGGCGTCAATTCTGCAGCCGCCCGGGGGGCAGGCGTCCCCGACGGCGCCCTCGCTGTCCCCCCATGTATCGCTCCCCCATTTATCTCGAGGCCTCCTACATGGGGTCGAAGTAGACGGGATCGGAGGATCGCGCCGCATCGCCGATACGTCGACAATGCCTCGCCGGTGCATCGGCGATGCATCGGCGACGTCGCCAGTGTATCGGCGACGGAGAACATCGGGCTCCGC